GGGTTGCAAATTTAGTCATGTATTTGAGGCCACTGTATAATTTCAAACGTGTTTACTCAACTTTCAGCCAGTGGAAGAACCAAAAAAAAAAAAAACAAAAAAAAAAAACCAAATCCACTGCCACTGAGTTGATTCTAACTCACAGTATAAGACAGAGTAGAACTGCCTGACCAAAGCTGTAAATGTTTACGGGTGTAGATTGCCTCATCTTTCTCCTGCCGAGCAGCTGGTGGTTTCAAGTCTCTGACCTTTTGGTTAGCTGTCAAGTGGTTTAACCACTACACCATCAGATCTCCTTAGCCAAATGATGTTGTTGTTGTTGTTAGGTGCTGTGAAGTCAGCTCTGACTCATAGTGATCCTCTTTATAACAGAGAGAAACACTGTCCAGTCCTGCGCCATCCCACAATCCTTGCTGTCAATGCTTGAGCCCCTTGTCACAGGCACTGTTAGTCCATCTCATTGAGGATCTTCCCCTATCTTGCTGTCTCTTCACTTTACCTGGCATGATATCCTTCTCCAAAGTACCTGAGACGAAGTCTAGCCATTCTTGCTTCTATGAAACATTCTGGCTGTACTTCTCCCAAAACAGATTTTTTTCGTTCTGTGGCAGTGCTTAGTATTTTCAGTTTTCTTTGCCAACACGACTATTCAAATGCATCAGTTCTTCGGTCGTCCTTATTCATTGTCCAGCTCTCATGTGCATAGGAAGCTATTGAAAATACCTTGGCTTGGGCCCTGGAGCACCTTAGTCTTCAAAGTAACATACTGGCTCTTTAATACTTTAAAGAAGTCTTTTGCAGCATGTTTGTCCAGTGCAATACATTGTCTGATTTCTTGACTGCTGCTTCTCATAGAAGCAAGCAAACAATAGACAGGCCTATACCTGAACAGTAACACTGCAGAGGTACACATTCATAAGAACAGTCAACCATACAAGATCAAAAGGGCAGCATTTGCCCAGGGATAAAGCTCAAGGCAGGAAGGGATGTCATTTACATTTTGGGGATGTCAGTGTCACAAAACAAAATGTGTATGAATTGCTGAATGGAAAACCAATTTACTCTGTACATTTTCACCCATATCACAATTAAAAAAAAAATTCGAATGAGTTTACTTCAGTACTTTTACTTTCTGTATAGAAGTAGCTTTTATTATATAAATTATTTTAAAATCACATAAGAAATATGCTCTATAAAATGAAAGATCTACCCCTCTTAATTAATGAGCTAATTTCCTTGACACAAGAACATATATAATTCTGTGAGTCTTGGCTTTGCTTTGTGGGGTGTTCTTGGCGTATCTCATGACTGGGACCTGCTAGGGTCCCTGGCATTTTGTTTAGCTATAAATTATAAACAGATGGAACTTTACCACTCCTTGCCATTTTTTTGTTTTTTACTTGGCAAGTGTTTTAAAAAAGGCCTGAAAGGAAAGGGGTGAGTGGTTTTTAAACACTGAAATTAAAAAAATAAAAAGCTTAATAGACCTTGTTTGGCAGTAGTCTTTGACTTTGCCTTTTGGTGATTTCTTATTGTATTGTCTGTAGGCTGAGAGGGAGGAAAAGGATTAAGTATATTCTGTATTCTAAATCTTTACTAGAGGGCTATTTTGATCAATGTACATTTACTGGAAGTAATGTGGATTAGCTTGTTAGAGCATTGCTGTAAGATCTGATCCCATTAGAGAATAAATATTATATTTATTCTCATTAGAAATAAATATCTTCATTAGAAATAAATTCCATTTTGACATTTTTCTTTATGATTACATTCCCCAATTCCCATAGGAATGGTACCTAAGTAAGTGTTAATTGGGATGTCAATAGCAGTCTGTGAGTTGGGAAAGTGACATTCTAGCAATTGTGAATTTTTTAACTCTGATTGAGCAGACTCCCATTTTAAACCTATATTGGTAACCTAGATTTATCATTACTATGCATTTACATTTATTATATTTAGTGAGACTCTGATTTCTCACAATTATTAACCTCTTCCAGTCTTACTGCCTGCCTTTGTTTTTGTTCTAGGTTTGTGTTACTAATAAAGATAGTTTGCACAGTGGTGGCTTCCTTCATTCTCTGCTGGCTGCCGTTCTTTGCAGAAAGAGAACAAATCCTGCAAGTTCTAAGACGACTTTTCCCCGTTGATCGTGGGTTATTTGAGGCATGTTTAAAAACTTTGCTCTTACTCTTTTCTATTGTGGTATCCTCCCTGTGACTTTTGGGGATTTCATATAGAAAACACACAAGGAATAGTTACTTCAGCTGCTCTCCTCTTGCAATCATTCCTTGCCAGTTATTTAATCCATGATATAACCCCTAGCTCAGCTAGCATTTTCTAGTACATAAATAGATAATATTTATACCATCATCAGATTCATAATTCAATTATACATCTTTCTAATGAATAGGGTCCATAATAAAAGACAGCATGAGATGTTGTACATATGAAATTAACAACTCTGTAATGTTTTGGTTTATATTCTCTTCTTAGTCTTAGGAAATTGTTTGTGAAACTAATAACCCTGTTTGCTTCAGAAAGAAATCATAATTCCTAATGAGCTGTAATTCTCACCACGGTAATTTTGAATGAGAATCTTTCATTTTATTTAATTTAATGCTAGTTTAATCACTCTTGTTTAACTTATTACATGAATAATTTGATGATTTAGATTTAGTAATTAAATTAAACATACCATTTTTCTGGGGGAAGAAAAGGTCTATCAGTAAAGTTAGTCAGAGATAGCATATTTATAGATAATTTGCTTTTGAATAAAACTTCATTTAAAAGGAATTAGAAAAACATTTGTTGTTGTTGTTGTTGTTATGTGCCGTTGAGTCGGCCCCGACTCATAGCGACCCCTCCTTGGGTTTCCGAGGCAGTATCACTACAGAAGTAGGATTGCCCAACCTTCCTTCCAAGGAGTGGCTGGTGGGTTTGAACCGCCAGCCTTCTGGTTAGCAGACAAGTGCTTTAGCCACTATGCTACCAGAGCTCCTTAGAAAAACATATATCTCTAAATTTTGAACCAAACTCTTTCTTAGTCTCTTCCAAAATACTGGTTCCATCCTCTTATTGGCCCAATAAAATATATTCTGTAGCAATTTATGAATTCAAACTTTAGAAAAACATATATCTCTAAATTTTGAATTCATAAATTGCTACAGAATATATTTTATTGGGCCAATAAGAGGATGGAACCAGTATTTTGGAAGAGACTAAGAAAGAGTTTGGTGTTAGGAAGAACAGGAATGTGTGGTGTGGGGATGATTGTCAACACTACTTATATACTGGGAGCTCTGGTAGCGTAGTGTCTAAGGCACTTGACTGCTAACCAGAAGGCTGGCGGTTCAAACCCACCAGCCACTCTTCAGAAGGAAGATGGGGCAATCTACTTTCATAGTGATAGTGCCTCGGAAACTCAAGGGAGGGGTCGCTGTGAGTCGGGTCTGACTCAATGGCACATGACAACAAAAACAACAACTTATATACTAGGTAGGTGCCACACAGTTCACATGTAGTCTCACTGGATCCTTCAACAGCTCTTCGAGATCAGTGTTATTATCACCACTTTATGGATAAGAAATCTGAGGTCAGAGATTCACATATGTATGTGAGAGAGCTGTGATTTGAACTTCTCAGCCAGTGTTCCTAGCATCTACTTTATATAACCCTAAAAACCAAACTTACTGCCGTCAAGTTGGTTCCAACTCATAGTGACTCTATAGGACAGTAGAACTGCCCCATAGGATTCCTCTTCCTCCTATGGAGTGGCTTTTGGGTTCAAACTGCCAGCCTGTTTTTAATTAGTTGGCAGCTGAGTACTTAGGTACTGCATTGCCAAGGCTCCATCTCTTTATATAGCATGTAACTTTAATCTCCATTAAAAAAAATAATAATAACTCATGGCCATTGAGTCGGATCTGACTCATAGCGACCCCTCCTTGGGTGTCCGAGACGGTATCACTACGGGAGTAGATTGCTCAACCTTCCTTCCGAGAAGTGGCTGGTGGGTTTGAACCGCTGGCTTTCTGATGAGCAGTCAAATGCCTTAGGCGCTATGCCATCAGAGCTCCTAATCTATGTAAAGAAGAGTTTAATTTTCTACGTAAGCTGCCTTACTTTCTGTTTTGGTTACCTAGTGCTGCTCTGACAAGAATATACCACAAATAGATGGCCTTAACAAACAGGAGTTCATTTTCCAACAGTTTGGAGTCTTTAAGTCCGAGTTTAAAGTGCCAAGCTCTAGGAGCTGTGTGAAGGCCCCTGGACCTTGGGCTTCAGCTCTTTCTCTTGCTCCTGGCCACTGAAGCTAGAGGCATCTCTTCACTTAGGCAGCCACTGGCTGCTGAGGTTAACAAGCCCAAGGTCGACAAATAAAATGGCACAGTCCTGATGTTACCAAACCACATGGCAGGCCGTTAATTCAAGTCCATTCAGAGTCCCAAGGTCAGAGCATGGCAGGCTGTTGAACAACGACATGGTAACATGCATGGTTCAAGTGTGCCATAAGCTAGAGACCGTTCCCCAAGACTTCTCCTTATATACAGGAAACAGACCACATCCCTAAGGCAGCTACACAGCTGCTCACAGTAGATTCCACCATGGAGTTGATTGTCAGTCTCATGGGGAATAACTACCACCGGCTTCCCAGTCACTCATCCAGGCCCAACCAAGTTGACATACAGCTTTAACTACCAAACCTTCCATTTCAGAAATTGGAGTTATCATGGTAATTATAAAAGTGAATTTCATACATAGTTGATGGTGTTGCCAGTCTCTATTCATTTGTTCTCAAAATCTGAAGCCCATTTTCTTTGATACAACATAGGGCAGTAGGATGATAGAGTTGTCAGTGATAGTGCTTTCTTGATGTTATGCCTACACAGCTGTGAATCACACAGCTGTGAATCACACAGCTGTGTAGAGGATGGGTTTCATGAGTGTGAGAACTGTAGTTACAAATTTAATTTTGAAAGTGATCCTAGCACAACTGCTAATGTCTTTAAATTTTTTCATTTCATAGCAATTAGCTCTTGTGATTTCTAGTCACTAGTAGGTTAAATAAATTCAGATGTGTGATAAGATGGATTAAATGTAATACATGTTCTACGAATTATGAAAAAGATTTCTTAGAGAAACATCCAATGGTAAGTAACTGCGGATTTTAGAGATAGTGTGCTGCTCTTTGAAAAATATGAAATTTTTCTTGGGAGTGTCTGGGTTATGATGGGCTGGTGATTTAGATCAATTCCCATTGCAAAAAAGTAAAAAAAAAAAAAAATGCCTGTGGTATGTACGTATATGTTTATTCCTTGGACAGTTTAATCAAGTCAGTTAAAATTAGTGAATAAAAACTTTATATGTCTTAAAAGCCTATTAGAGATTATCAAATATACTTAATGAGATCTAAATTTGCTTTTAATTATACCAGAATGTAAAATTAATCAATCTCTTTTAAGGATAAAGTAGCCAATATTTGGTGTAGCTTCAATGTCTTTCTGAAGATTAAGGATATTTTGCCACGTCACATCCAGGTAATAATGAGGTAAGAGAACAAACTTTGTAAATAGTGTTTTATAATTTACGCTCTAAAACTGTTGTAGTAATACCTCATTTAATCTCGCAACATTAAGTAATGAGGGTTCTTTGTTAGTGAATTCTCTACATAACTTAAACCTATCCCTCTATACAACAGAACTTTATTTGAATTGTTTTATGTGAAAGCCATTCTGAATCATTACTTAATTTTCTTCTCCTTAAACAGGGAGTGTATTAAATATGATTTGACATTATCATCAGAGTGATACTCTCCGGTGATGTATCAGTTAGGCTTCAACCAGAGAATGAGTAGGAGGTGTATGTATATGTGTCTATGTATGTATGTGTAGATTTATTATGAGGAACTGGCTTATGTATTTGTGGTGGCTGGCTAAATAAGCCAGAAGTCCACCAGGCAGGTTTTTGAGAAGGGACATCCAGGGGGAATAGAGAACGGTTTAGACCTAGCTCCTGCTTAGAGAATCTGAGCTTAGGGAAGGCCTAAACCCTCTTAAAAGACTTGCAACTGATTAAGTGAGGCCCACCCAGGCTAATCATCCTTTTCATTAACTTAAAATCAACTGAATAGGGACTTTAATTATGTCTACAAAATTTCTTCACAGTAGCACCTAGATTTGTGTTTGAATAATTGGGATAAGGTGTGTGTATGCTACCAAATGGCTACTGCCTCTTTCTGCCATTCAGTGCTTGTCAGAAAATATCCCTGGTAGCCCACCCTAATGAAAAGCATACTGGAGAGAGTTCTGGGGACTTTAGTTCAGCTTAGCTAAGTTGACATATCACAAAACCAACACAAATGGGAAAATCAGTTACTATATTGGGTTGTAATACTTGTGTTCAAGGGCTGTGTGCCATGATACTTAATGGCTCCAGACTGCTCTGTTTGCTGAGTTGGTCTGCATTCTCTACTTTTTCTTCCCTGTCTGTCCGGAGAAGCTCTAACTGCTTCCCACTCTGTTTTGAACTTGTTTTCTCTGACTTAACAAAGTTCGAAAATTGAATAATCAACTTTTGGGAGTAAAGATTGTGTTACAAATATAGCATTGTTTCTTTATACTTATTTCTTTGTGTTCTCGTATTTTGAGAGTGTTTGAGGATTGAACTTCAGTTATAGCTTTGTACTTTTTCTATAAATGATATAAAATACTACAATAACATAAACAATATATGATTGCATTATGGTATGAGTATATCAGCTAGTCATATATATATTAAAGTATGTACATATTTCAGTGTATGTTGTTGTTGTTATGTGTCGTCAAGTCAACCCAACCCATAGCGACCCCTCCTTGGGTTTCCGAGGCAGTATCACTATGTAAGTAGATTGCCCCATCTTCCTTCCGAGGAGTGGCTGGTGGGTTTGAACCACGAGCCTTCTGGTTAGTAGTCAAGTGCCTTACGCACTATGCTGCAGAGCTCCCATTTCAGTGTATAGACTATTTAAATGTTAACTGGTCTTAAAAAAAACCCTTTAATTTGAAATCAGTTTATGTTTATACTTTTAAAAATATTTCTTTGTTTTAGCTAGATTCGAATTCTCACAATTTTTTTATTAATTTTTTTTAGCTTTTGTTTTACATTTTTGAGTCTGCTTCCTGCATGTATAAAATTAACATTTCAGCCCTCTCCCAAAGCATTCAAATTTACTCTGGTAAGTTTCTCATTATTTTAAATACTTAATTTCTAGCTGATACTGATCTTTTAACATTATAAATTATTATTTTCTTGCCCTGAACATTCTTGACTGAAGTAGGAAATAAGACATTCATTTGTTTGGCAACCATTTATTGTGTCTCTAATATGTAGATGTTGTTTTGGGCACAGGCAGAGCACTCAGAATCTTTCAGTATAATTCACAACTATTTATTTAGTTTTTCCTTTGTATTAATCAATGAGGGAATAGAAAGAAGAAAACTCTAATGTTAGGCATATGCTTAAATAATTATGCTATATGTAAAGCAAATGGTATTAAGTCGTATCAGGTACAAATGAAGTTCTTTGATAATGGGGGAAAGGGATATATTACTTTAGAACATTTCAGAGGGCTTCTTAGACCAAGTGGGATTTGAGCCAAATTTTGAAATTTGGGCCAGGTTTGGAATAGGAGTTTATATAGCAGATGAGTATTCAGGATGGGGAAGAGCTGGAAGGTACAGAGGTGGGAAGGAACAGGGAATGTTCTGGGAATACTATTAGACAACAGAATTTACATTAACCTCTGTGTGTGTTGGCAGTAGGATAGAACATAATGAGAAATAAGTTTGAAATGATGTGGATAGAGACCCCTATTTGCTGATTTGGCATGTCTCAAGATGAAACAGAAACAGCTGCAAACATCCATTAATAATCAGAACATGGAATGTACGAAGGATGACTCTAGGAAAATTAGAAGTTGTCAAAAAAAATGACATGGAACACAGAAAGATCAATATCCTAGCCATTAATGAGCTGAAATGGACTAGTTTTGGCCATTTTGAATCAGACAATCATATGATCTGCGATACTGGGAATGACAAATTGAGGAAGAATGATGTGGCATTCATTATCACAAAAAGTGTGCCAAGACCTATCCTGAAGTACAGTGCTGTCAGTGATAAGATAATATCCATGCATCTAAGAGGAAGACCAGTTAATACTACTATTATTCAAATTTATGCACCAACCACCAATGCCAAAGATAAGGAAAGTGAAAATTTTTACCAACTTTTGCAGTCCGAAATTGACTGAACATGCAATCAAGATGTGTTAATTATCACTGGTGATTGGAATGCAAAAGGTGGAAACAAAGAAGAATCACCAGTAGTTGGAAAATAAGGTCTTGGTGATAGAAATGTTGCTGGAGATCGCATGATAGAATTTTGCGAGACCAACGACTTACTCATTGCAAATACCTTTCTTCAACAACACAAACAGCAGCTATACACGTGGACTTCACCAGACAGAGTGCACAGGAATCAGATTGACTACATCTGTGGCAAGAGGCGATGGAGAAGCTCAATATCTTCAGCCAAAACGAGGCCAGGAGCGGACTGTGGAACAGGCCATCAACTAACTCCTCAGATGCAAGTTCAAGTTGAAGCTGAAGACAATTAAAAAGAATTCCATGAGAGCCAAAATATGACCTTGATTATATCCCTCCTGAATTTAGGAATCATCTAATGAACAGATGTGATGCATTGAACACCAGTGACTGAGAACCAGAGGAATTGTGGGATAACATCAAGAACATGAGTCATGAAGAAAAGCAAAATGTCATGAAAAAGACAGGAAAGGAAGAAAAGACCAAAATGGATGTCAGAAGAGTCTCTGCAGCATGCCCTTGAATGGAGAGTAGCTAAAGCAAAAGGAAGAAATGACGAGATAAAAGAGCTAAACAGAAAATTTCAAAGAGCAGCTCAGGAAGACACAGTCAGTTATTATAAAGAAACGTACAAAGACCTGGAGTTAGAAAGCCAAAAGGGAAGAACATGCTCACATTTCTCAAAGTGAAAGAACTGAGGAAATAATTTAAGCTTCAAATTACAATACTGAAAGATTCCATGGGCAATATGTTGAATGATGCGGAAAACATCAAAAGAAGATGGATGGAATACACAGAGTCAGTATACCAAAAAGAACTGGCAGATGATCATCCATTTCAGGAGGTGGCATATGATCAAGAACCAATGGTACTGAAGGAGGAAGTTGACGCTGCACTGAAGGAATAGGCAATAAAACAAGGCTCCGAGAATTGATGGAATGACCATTAAGATGTTTCAACAAATGGATGCTGTACTGAAGGCACTCACTCAGCTATGCCAAGAAATTTGGAAGACAGCTACCTGGCCAACTGACTAGAAGAGATTCATATTTGTACCCATTCCAAAGGAAGGTGATCCCACAGAATGTGAAAATTATCAAACAATATCATTGATATCATGCATGAGTAAAATCTTACTGAAGATAATTCAAAAACGTTTGCAGCAGTATATTGACAGAGAACTTCCAGAAATGCAAGCTGGATTCAAAAGAGGACGTGGAGTGAAGGGATATCATAGCTGTCAGATGGGTCTTGGCTCAAAGCAAAGAAGAGCAGAAAGATGTGTACTTGTGTTCTATTGACTATGCAAAGGCATTTGATTGTGTGGATCATAACAAATTGTGGGTAACATTGAGAAGAATGGGAATTCCAGAACACTTCATTGTACTCATGAGAAAGCTGTATATAGACCAGAAGGCTGTCGTTGGAACAGAACAAGGGGATACTGCATGGTTTGAAATCAGGAAGGGAGTGTGTCAGGGTTGTATCCTTTCACCATACTTATTCAGTCTGTATGCTGAGCAGATAATCTGAGAAGGTGGAACTATATGAAGAAGAACGTGTCATCAGGTTTGGAGGAAGGCTTATTAACAACCTGAGATACATAGATGACACAGTTTTGCTTGCTGAAAATGAGGATGACTTGGAGCACTTACAGATGAAGATTGAAGACTACAGAGTGTAGTATTGATCAAAGAAAACCAAAATCAAACTCACTGCCGTCCAGTTGTATCTGACTCATAGCAACCCCTCCTTGGGTTTCCAAGGCAGTATCTCTATGGAAGTAGATTGCCCAGTCTTCCTTCCAAGAAGTGGCTGGTGGGTTTGAACCACCATCCTCCTGGTTAGCACTCAAACTGGACCAATAAGCAGCATTGCAATAGATGGAGAAAAGATTGAAGTTGTCAAAGACTTCATATTACTGGGTTCTACAATCAATGCCAATGGAAGCAGCAGTCAAGACATCAAAAGATGCATTGCATTGGGCAAATCTGTTGCAAAGGACCTCTTTCAAGTGCTGAAGAGCAAAGATATCTCCTTGAAGACTAAGGTGTGCCTGACCCAAGCCATGGTGTTTTCAATCATTTCATATGCATGTTAGAGCTGGACAATGAATAAGGAAGACCAAAGAAGAGTCGATGCTTTTGAGTTGTGGTGTTAGCAAAGAATGCTGAAAATACTGTGGACTGCTAAAAGAACTAACAAATCTGTCTTGGAAGAAGTGTAGCTGGAATGCTTCTTGGAAGTGGGAATGGCCAGACTTTGTCTCACCTACTTTGGTCATGTTGTGAGAAGGATGTCATGCTTGGTAGGGTGGAGGGTCAACGAAAGAGGGGGAGGCCTTCAACGAGATGGATTGACACGGTGGCTGCAGCAATGGGCTCAGGTAGAGTAGGGATCGTGAGGATGGCACAGGACCGGGCATTGTTTCGTTCTGTTGCACATAAGGTCGTTATGAGTTAGAGACAACTCGACAGCACGTAACAACAAGTTTTGAAAAGGACCAAATTTATTGGGTTGATAATTTGGAGCTTAATTTGTGTGTAAGAGGAGTCAAAAAACGTATTTGATAAAGGGGATAAGGTAGATCTGTTTAGGGGGATAACGTGTCAGTTTGAAAGTAGATTGGGTTTATTTCCTACAGCTTAGGGTATCACTGAGTGAGTTTACAAACTCTTCCTGGTTGTATTTCTGTGGTACTTTAAAATTTTGCTCTTGTGTGTCTTGGTCCATAATATGAAATTTAACAAGAATCTTTTAAAAGCTGAAGAAAATTTCATTTATGTAAACAGTAAGTACTAGAGACAGCACTTTAGAAACTTGGGTTCCAGTTCTGGGGCTGCCACTTACTAACATTGTGGTCCAAAAATGAGCCAGAACAGAACATAATAGTGAAACATTTAAAGGTGCATTTCAGTTCTACAAGGTAAAAAAGATCGATAATTTCTGTTCCTTTTCCGTTATCTTTATGTACTTTTTCTTTATTACCTTTTTGCTGGTAACTTCTGTTGTTTCATTCTGTGAATGAATCCTGAGTATGCTAAGTCATCTACTATTAGTATTCTATAGGATGTTCAGTATAAGATGGATGTGGTTGGTTACTAATGCTCTCATGTCTTTTATTGGCCTAACTAGTAAAAATTTTAAAATATGTATGATTGTTATTTTTCTAGGAAACAACATGCACAATAAAGGTCTATCTCAAAGACAATGGAATAGAAGAATTTCAGAATTTGAGTAACTGTAGTAGTGTTAGAAATGGCTACTTTTAGGTTCTAAGCTGGAAAAAATGTTTTCTTTTATTAGTGCCCTAATTTTATTTTGATTACTGTGTTTTGATACAAACCACTGTGTTTAAAACAAGATAAATTAATTTTGTTGATGTTTTGAATTCATATTGTATACTTATGAGAGCTTTAAAACCATTTCACATTATACTTTGAGAAGTATTTTCCTTTAAATCAAGTTTGGTTGAATTGTTTCTCAGTATAAATCTATAATTGAGGTAATTGAAAATGCTAATGTATCCACTGCAGCAAAATGATTTATTTTTAATTTATTGAAGTAGTTTATATTGAGTATCCTGTCTTGTGCCAAGTACTCTTCCAGGTACTGGGCATATAAGTGAATGACAGATAATGACCCTGCTCTCTTAATTAGTGCCTTTCACTGTTAGTGGCAGGAGAGGGATAATAAACAAATTAGTTATGAAAATATCTGGGAATAGTGAATGCTATGAAGAAAATAGGGTGATGTGAAAAGAGAGCTGATGGGATGGGGTTGGAAGGCACTACTTTTGTTTGAGTAAAAGAAGGCCCTTCTAGGGAAGTGACATTGGAACTGAGAACTGAATGACCAACCAAAGGAGCCAACCACAAGATTTGGGTTCTGACTTTATAAAAGCAAGTACAAAAGCCTTAAGACAGGAACACATTTGATATGTTTGAGGCATAAAAGAATAGGTATGAAGTGTCTGGCATGAAGAGAGTGAGGGAGAGTAAGAGATGAAGTGAAGAGGAAGATGGGAGCCAGATCATATAGCTGTGTGCAGGAGTTTAGATTTTATTCTCAGGGTGATAGGAAGCTATTGGAGGATTTTAAACAGGGAAATGACATGATATGACACGGTGTCTGTGGAGAATGGACTGTAAGGGGGCAAGAGTGTTACCAGTTAGAAGGTTATTATAGTAGTCCAGGAGGAAGATGAAGGTGGTTGAGACTATTCCTTTATTCCACCATCAGCAGAGGGGTGGAGAGAAGTGGATTGCCCCATCTTCCTTCTGAGGAGTGGCTTGTGGGTTTGAACCACCAGCCTTCTGGTTAGCAGTCAAGTGCCTTAGGCACTATGCTACCAGAGCTCCTGCATGGATATTTAAGAGGTAGATAAAGAACTCTGATGGCGCTGTGGTTAAGCACTTGGCTGCTAACCAAAATGTTGGCAGTTTGAACCCACCAGCTGCTCCATGGGAGAAAGATGAAGGTGGTCTGTGTCTGTAAAGATTACAGCCTTGGAAACTCTGTAGGGCAGTTCTGTTCTGTTCAATAGGGTCATTATGAGTTGGAATCAACTTGATGGCAATGATTTTAGTTTTTTTGGTTACAGACATTGTTTGCTGAAGGATTGGATGTGTATGTAGCACTGTACAAGATGATAATCCAGGTTTTTGGCTTGAGCAACTAGATGGATGTATATAGGCATATGTCTAATATGCAGAAAATAAACTTCTGAAAATCTAAATAATTTTTCTTTAAAACATCCATTTGAAATGATAAATTTTTGAACATTTAATATATTTTATGGAAGTATACATTTTAAGAAAATGAAAGTAGATTTTTTCAAGAAGTTTTAGATTGTGACCACCTTGGTCTTCATACTTTTTAATTTAAAGTGTCAGGGATCTCAAGGGAGTATGAAGGTATGATTATTGTGTCTTAGTAGTTTTGCTTATTAATAACCGAGTCTTAACCTGTTTTAGGTAGTTACATAGCTATATATAGTTATATAGGTAGATGTATATATATATATAGGTATATATATGTGTGTGTGTGTAGGTATATATAATTGTATATAGTTATATAGATAGCTTTATAATCATTGTTTTTAAAACAATATTTTGGTTATTAAATCTGATTTAAATATTATACATGCTAGTGTTATGTTTATATTTTACTTCTAGATAGAAGCCACATTAAACTTTTACATTTCACTTGAAATAATTTTTAGATTCATAATTAAATGGCTATTCTATTTTATAAGTTATTATATCACATTTTTCCTTTTGTCCTTCAAGGTTAGCTGTGCTCTATCATTCTTTTTATTTTCTTTCCAAGTACATGAAAAGTCCATTCTCTTGGTATCATTGTAAGTAAAAATGTTTGATGTATTTATTATTATAAGTATATAATACATAAATGAATTTATAATTTAATATATTCATGTAAATGTAAAACAACACTAAACAAATATTACATATTTGCATATAATTATTTCACAAAGTCTTATTTTTCCAGGATTTCCTTATGATTTTACTTCTTTATTATAGTATTTTATATTTATTTATAGGGATTGACATACTTTTTATTTCTTCCCGTTTCTTTATATATACATATCCATATGCTATTATAAAATGTGCTTCCAAAGAGGCTTTTCTCAGACTGGAACTTGTTTGTTGTCTTTAGCTTTTTCATCTCATTCAGTTCCATATCTATTCAGTAGCCTTGTTTTCTCTATTAACCCCCACTGAGTCTTTCACTTACTGCTGCTTTTCTATTTCTTTTGCTGTAACCTTTGATTAGACTCCATTGGAAATCTCTAACCAAACTACTCTGTTTTAGGACCCTTAAGATTTTTTTTTTTTTTTTTAAATTTCCAGTTATATGTTCGTCACAGAAATTTGGTGACACTTGAGGATATATTATCCTGATACTAAAATATTTTCCCAGAAAACCTTGGAATATTTGAGTCTTGACCTAAATCAATCCCAAACTACACTCCATCTTTCCCATCCTTCATCCTTTTTACTAGGTTCTTGCATAAGATACATGTGCAGAATGATCAATGACAAATTGAAGCAATATCACTTTTATTAAATGAAATTTTAGATTAAAACCTTAGTGCAAAGCTTACAGTAAGCTGAGATGGTGTATGTGGAAGATTTCTTTGCTGTATGCAAAATAGTCTCCTACCTTTGCATGATGAGAGGACTTTTTTTTTTCACCTTAGAAAATATTTTTATTTATACATTTATATATATATAAAGCCTTGGGAAATTCCATTTTCAGGTTTTTTTTTATAAATTTGATTGTGAAAGTTTGCAGAGCAAATTCATCTTCCATACAGCAGTTCCCATACACTTTGTCTCATGACAGCAACTGCAATTTCCCACAGTGCAACAGTTCTCCTCCCACTTATCCCATAGCCACCTCTTCCCTGTGTCCTTCCCTCCCATGCACTCCTGCCCCCAAATTGTCTCCTTATGCGTACAGAGCCCTTCTATTCTCCCATGATCTCTTGATGGAGTATATATGCCTAATGTAAATGTTCAGCTCACATGCCTGTCTTTTGTTTGGCTGGAAGCCATAGGAGTGGGTTCAGTTCCAGACCTGAAGGGCAGTGAGGGGCCATAGTCTCAGGAGTTCCACCAGGATTCATCAGACCAGCAAACCTGGTCCTTTTTTTTTTACAATTTTAGTTTTGTTCTGCGTTGTTCTCCCACTCTATCCAAGATCTCCTACATAGATCCCCTTCTGAGTGGTTGACAGTGGTAGCCAGGCACCATCTAGTTCTTCTGGTCTCATAGTAAGTATAGGCTGAGGATTGCATGGTGTATCAGTCGCTAGGACTAATTGTTTCCATGTGTCTTTGGTTTTCTTCATTCTTCTTTGCTCTGGATGAGGAGAGACTGATCATTGCATCTAGTTGGCTGCTTGCAAGCTTTTAAGATCCCAGTCACTACTTGCCAGAGTAGATGTGGAACAATCTTTTTGTGTAGTGTGTTATGCCAATTAAGCTTGATGTCCCCTGCGACCATGGTCCTGACCCCACAGGTCCAGCTACTCACTCCCTTGGGTAGCTGGCTGTGGCCAAGAAGGACTACAACCTTGTCCCCTGTCAGCTCTACTATATACTTGCTAATTCTTACAGAACATACAAATACACTTGTAGAAACATTGTCTGCCGACCCTGTACGTAGTCATGGGCACAATCCTGATGGGAGGACTTTTAAATTTCATCCCCTAAAGCCAATGCATGTGTTGAATCTTAACTTAAAAGAGACTAGACTTTCCCTACATAAATCCCTAGTACTAGAAGGAATGGAACTTATAGAGGGGTTTTTCTTCCAAATGTGTATTTCCCATGGCATTTCTACCCCAAAGAAATGTAGCCCATTTAATGACTTGTATAGTGACCGTTCAAATTACTTCTTTACCCAGGGGTTCATACTCTACAATGGCACCTACATGCTTGGCTTTAATATAATTTTAATTTAAAAAAAATCTTAAGTTAGGATTAAAATTCCTCTTCATCTGTTCCCAGCTAATCTATCATTAAACAAATAATTCAATAAATATGATCATGAAAATGGCTCAGGACTGAGCAACATTTCATTCTGTTATACATAAGGTCAGGAGCTCTGGTAGCATAGTGCCTATGGCACTTGACTGCTAACCAGAAGGCTGGCGGTTCAAACCCACCAGCCACTCCTCGGAAGGAAGATGGGACAATCTACTTCCGTAATGATACTGCCTCGGAAACCCAAGGAGGGGTCGCTATGAGTCGGGTCCGACTCGATGGCACATAACAACGACAACATACATAAGGTCACTATGAGTGAGAGCTGACTTGCTGACAGCTCACAATTGCTACCTACTAGACTGTTCTGGGCACTGGGGATATATCTGTGAACAAAACAGCAAAAATTTTTGCCGCCTTAGTTTCATTATCAAGAGCAGACAATAAATAATAATGAAGTAAAAACAAGAAATTAAATAACATGTTAGAAGGTAATAAATGCCACAAGGGAAAAAGAAAACAAGGTAAGAGGAATTGGTAGTAGTAGAGATGGGGGTTGCAGGTGCAGGTTGCAGTTGTAAAGATGTAAACGTAGGCTTAATTGAGATACTCCAGTGGATTAGAAGAAGTGATGAAGTTAGCTATGTTGATATTTGGGAGAATAATATGCTAGGTAGAGGAAACAGCCAGTGGCAAGGCTCTAAAGTAGAAGTATGCCTGGTATGTTCAGCAAACAGGAACAAGGCCATTGTGGCCAGAGTGCTGTGATGAAAATGGAGGGTGGTGAAAATAAGAGAGGGTTACAAATCTTTAAGGGCCTTGTAGCCATGAGACTTAGGGTACATAATTCAAAGCTGGGGATGTTAGGGCGGAAAGAGGGAGAACCAGAGTGGAAGTGGCAATGAAGAGCAATGAGGTGATCTCTCACTTCTAGATCAAGTGGTTGGAAGTCTGTGTGTGTGGGGGGGGGGTGCAAAAAGATGGGCAGCACTTAAGAGCTCAGATGGGCATCATTGGAGAAAGAGAGAGAGACAGAGAGAGAGAAAGAGAGGGAGACAAAGACATCATTTAAAAGAAGGAAGTGAAGAGGTGTTCAGAAAAGAAGTTAAGAATGTAGGGGATTTTACTACCTGGTTATAAATTTTAAGCACCTTGTGGTTAGGGGCTGAGTTACATTCATTTTTATATTCCTTTCAGAGCAATGGTTGTACATAATAAGTTTTTGATAAATGCTTATGCTCAGTAAAATTAATATTGAAATGAATAAATGGAAAATAATTAAGACCCTGGAAAAGAAAGTAATACTTATTGGGCATCTAGTAAGTAGTTAGGAGCCCTTGTGGTGTAGTAGATAAAGCATTTGGCTGTTAAACAAAAGGTCCATGGTTCAAACCATGGGAGAAAGATGAGGCAGTCTGAGAGATTTACAGCCTTGGAAATGTATGGGGTATTTCTGCCCTATCCTGTAGAATTGCTACGAGTCAGAATCAACTCGATGGCAGTGGGTTTGGTGTTTTGGGTTAGTAAATACTTGACATGAATTCATCTAGATTTTAAAATGAAATTGAAAGTCCTCTAGTATTTTCTTTTAATATGTTGTTGTTAGCTGCTGCTGAGTCAACTGTGACTCAGGTGAGCCCATGTATAACAGAAGGAAATGCTGCCTGGGCCATCTTCATGGTGATTGGTATGAGTCCATTGTTGTGGCTTTTCCATCGGTCTACCTCAAGTTTTCCTCACCTTCACTGGCCCTCCACTTTACCAAACAGGATGTCCTTCTCTAGCTCTTGGTTCCTCCTGATCATGCTCCCAAAGTAAGCAAGTCGCAGCTCCGACAACACTCTTTGATCCGTAGGGTTTTCATTGGCTGATTTTTGGAAGTAGATCATCAGACATTTTTCATTTTGTCTTAGTCTTGAAGCTCTGCTGAAATCTGTTCACCATGGGTGACCCTGCTGGTATTTGAATACCAGTGCCAAAGCTTCCAGTATCCTAGTGAGGGGTAAGCTCCCACAGTACAACAAACTGACAGATGAGTGGTAGCCTTTTAATATAGTAGTGTACAATTGGTTTGTAATCCCAGGCCTTAGATCTCAGTTGCTAGTTGACATGGGTGAACGTTATCCTTTTAAGAAAGGGGGAGAATGCTCAAACCTTTTTAAGAGCATTTTTAAAAATAAGGAGATAAAAAAATAGTAATTCAATAACCATCACCATTAGAAAAAAAGCTTTTATTGCCCATTTGTATGAGGCACCATGGCTAGGCAGTCCAGTATCTATCACTGCAGTTTTGTGGTCTTTATGTTTCACACGTAAATTGTTTTTACTAGACTGTGAGGGCAGAGGCATTGTTCTTATGCACATTTGTATCCCCAGCACTTGACAGTATCTGAATCATTGGAGGTGCTCAGCAGATTTAATAAATGAATTAGAAAATGAAGTGAATGAGTATAATAAGTGAGTGAAGGAGCCCTGGTTGGTTCGCCAATTAAGTGCTAATCTATAAACTGAAAGGATGGTGTTTGAACCTGCCCAGTGGCTCAGCAGGGGAAACACCTGGCAATCTGCTTTATCAAAGATTATATATAGCCTAGAAAACCCTATGGGGCAGTTCTGCTGTGTCACTGGGGTCTGTGGGTTGGAATAACGTCAGCAGCACCTAACAACAACAACGTAAGTGAGTGACTGAAGATTTCTAACTCTGAAGAAGGAAAGACAGGCTTTTAACAAGTAAATACCGGATGATACTTGTAAAAGAGTTTGTTCAACCACTTAGCATTACAAGATAATCTTTTTATACATTAGAAAACAAGTTATTCATTCATTCAAGATCACACAGTGAGTGACGGAGCTGGGACTAGGACCCAGATCTCCTGACTGCCCCCCATCCTTCCCCTTTAGCATTGCCACAGTTGAGTCCAGAAGGTCATGGACCAGGAGAGGTGGTAAGGGGCTCACTGAATTTAGAGCCCTGACACAAAACAGCTCCTTGATAGAGGCAGTGGCCCTCTCTGTTGCTCTACTATTGCCCTTTCATGTAGTCTCTTCCTACTCATTTTTTCCCCTTTTCCTTTATTCTACCATCTTAACTTGTTTTCCTTTAAAACTCTCCTTTGCCCCTGTTTTGCTCTCCAGTGGCATGATAATCCTTCCTGTCATAACTTCAGTTTTTAATTTAGATGAGTAATATATAACCTAGAGGATAATAAAAAAGTTTGAAAACACCCATCTCTGAAATTCATTTCATATTCATGTCAAGCAGGAAAAAAATAAATGAAAAAGCTTTCTTTTTTAATGTTGAGATCTGTTTATCAGATCTTTTCTTTAAGTTACTGTTTGCACGATAGCAAAATGTTCCATTAATGGCATATTGGAAGCAATTTTCCGGTTCTTATGAGGAGTTTCCACCTTCTTTGTATTTAGACTCATTTAGTTTGGACTCATATTTATTAAAAAAATGAATCAGCACTCCATATGGAGACTTTGCTGGCCTTTTTTTTTTTTTTAGCTAAAACTGAAAATCAGATAAATAAAATATGTTCATATATTTTTTTAAGGAGTTTGAATTATAGTTAATACTAAAATATTTTTCTTTACTATTTTAGACCAATCTGTTTAATTTTAAATGAAATTCCTTTTATATCAACATGGTTTCTACTTGTGTCAACATTTAGGTGAGTCAAACCAATTTCCATTATATTTTTAGTATAGTTTTTATACACAAACTTAAAAATTTTAAACAAGTGATTGTTTTGAATTGACAATTTTCTTTTGCTGTATTGTCTGCTTTCCTTTGTAGTATGCTACCTCTTTTATTGAAGGATGGACTCCTGTTGCCCTCAGTTGTGACAATGATGGCATTCTCTATAGCTTGTGCTACCTCCTTTTCAATATTTGAAAAGATTTCTGAAGAAGAACTGCAGTTGAAATGCTTCTCCACTTCTGTAAGGAAGTATCTTCCACATGTCACATTTCTTCCCAGAATTATACAACATTTGGTAAGTTGTTCAATTTTTAAGGAATGGTATATTTAAATTATGGTGTTGGGGAAGAACACTGAATATACAGTGGACTGCCAGAAGAACAAATAAATCCATCTTGGAAGATGGACATCCAGAATGCTCTTTAGAGACGAGGATGGTGAGACTTTGTCTCTCATACATTGGTCATGTTATCATGACCCTGGAGAAAGGCATCACTCTTGGTAAAGTTGACCCTTCGTACAAAATAAGACAACCCTCAACTATGTGGATTGCATTGACACAGTGGCTGCAACAATGGGCTAAAATATAGCAAACATAGCAACAATTGTGAGGATGATGCAATATTGGGCAGTGTTTCACTCTGTTGTGTATAGGGTTGCTATGAGTCGGAGCCAACTTGACTGCATCTAACATTTTTTCAAATTAAGTTTTTAAATTATTGAAACATCTTTTTTACACATTTTATTTTAGGTATAATTGACATAAATTCACCCATAAAATTCACTCACTTAATGTTTACATTGCAGTGGTTTATAGTATTCTGTAGAGTTTGCAACCATTATCAGAATCTGATTTTTAGAATATTTTCATTACTTTACAAGGAAACACTGTACTCATTAGCAGTCACTCCAGATTTCTACCCTCACACCTAACTTCCAGCCTGGATAGCCACTAATCTACTTTTTGTCTCTGTAGGTTTGCTTATTCTTGACATTTCACAGAAATGGAATCATGTAATTTGTGGTTTTTCATAACTATTGTCTTAGGATGTTTCCAAGGCTTATCTGTGTTGCAGCCATGTATCAGTACTTCATTCCTTTTTATTGCTGAATACTTTGTCAGATGGACAGACCACATTTTGTTTATCCCATCTTCAGTTGACAGACATTTGGCTTATTTCCCCTTGTTAGTTATTATACATAATGCTGCTGTGGAGATCTGTGTACAAGTTTTTAAGTGCTCATAGTTTTCATTTCTCTTGAGTATGTATCTATGAGTGGAATTGCTGGGTCCACTGGAATTGGTAACTCTGTGCTTAACCTTTTCAGGAACTGCTAACTTTTCCAAAGTGGTTGCAACATTTTACATTCTTGTTAGCAGTGTATGTGGTTTCCATTTTCTCCACATTGTCACAAGCACTTTTCATTCTCTTTTTGATAATAGCCATCCTTGTCAGTGGTTCAAACCCAACAGCAGGTCAATAGAAGAAAGATGAGGCAGTCTGCTTCTGTAAAGATTTACTGTCTTGGAAACCCAATGGGGGGTTGCTGTGAGTTGGAATTGACTCATTGGCAGTGAGTTTGGTTTAGTGGGTATGAAGGAGTCCCTAGGTAGTGCAAACAGTTAGTGTGCTTGGCTGTTAACCAGAAGCCTCAGAAGGCCTGGTGACCTACTTCTGAAAAATCAGCCACTGGAAACCCTATGGAGCACAGTTTTGCTTTTTTGAGTATTCATTGGCCAGTTATAGATCTTTTTTGAAGAAATGCTTATTCAAATCCTTTGCCTATTTGTCTTTTTGTTGTTAAGCTGTAAGAGTTCTTTTTATATTCTGGACACAAGTTCCTTATCAGCTATGTGACTTACAGATATTTTCTCCCATTCTTTGGGTTGCCTTTTTAATTTCTTGATGGTATTTTTTGCAGCACAAACTTTTGTTTTGATTAAGTCCAGTTTATCTATTTTCTCTGTTGTTGCTTGTGCTTTTGGTGTGTATCTAAGATGGTAATTAAAGTCAAGACACAGGATGAACTCACTAAAGGCATGAATATAGATTGATAAGAGGAAGTACCCAGCCTTGGCACACAATGATGCACAAAGGTAAGGGACATGGGGAGCAGCTAGGGACATGGGAGGACATCAGAAGAGTATGGGATCATGGAAACCAAGTGAAGGAAGTGTTTTCAAGGAGATGGGGCAGATGTGCTGTTTCAAGTGCCACTGAGAGATAGGTAAGACCAGAATTGACTGTTTGATTCAGTACAGTGAAGAGATCATTACAGATTTTTGACCTGAGCAGTTTTATAGGGGGGTTGGGGGAAAAGCCGGATTGGTGCTGGAATTAGTGAATGGGAGAAACGGACACAAAGTTATAGGTCACTCTTTTGGAAACTGATGTAAATAGGAGCAGACAAATGAAGTGATAGAGGAAGAGAGGTTTTTGTTTAAAATGGGAGAAATTTCTACCTGTCTATTAACAGCAATTCTGGATCATGGTATCATCACATTTCAACCAACCACATATTTCTTGTTTGAAACTTTCTTATGATTTCATTTAAGAAATTTTCACTCCCCATTGAGGTTACCTCAGGGATTTTCCCACTGCATGATTCAAGCAGTCTTTGTCTGTTTGTAAACCATTCTGGCTTCCATCCTTTTAATTCTTACATCTGAATACTCTCTAGTCAGGTCTTACTAATCCTTTCATAATATGGCCATGAAAGTATCCTTTCATTGCTGTTTAGTTGCCACTGAGTTGGTTCTAACTCATGGTGACCGCATGTAGAAGAGAATGAAATGTTGCCTGGTTCTGCTCCATATTCATTCTTTATGTATTTGAATTCATTGTTGTGGGCTATTTTGTCAGTCCATCTCATTGAGGGTTTCTCTTATTTTTGTTGGCCCTCTACTTTACCAAACATGATGTTGTTTTCTAGTGATTAGTCTTCCCTGATGAAGTGTACCACGTTAGCGAGTCCATGTTTCACCATCCTTGCTTTGTAGCAACATTCAGGTTGTGTTCTTCTATGACTAACTTGTTTGTTTTGGCAGGCCATGGTACATTCAGTATTCTTCAACACCACAGCATCAATTCTTCTTTCTATACTATCCGACTTTCACATGCATATGAAATTGAGAAGATCATGGTTTATATAAGATGTACCTTGTTATCAAAGTGACACCTTTGCTTTTTAAAACTTCATAGAGGTCTTTTGCAGCAGATTTGAATGTTCCATTTATGTCCTGTATCCTTCATGAAAGCCACTGACTACTGTTTCTGCTTGATTTCTATATTTGCTTGAGCAGTTTCTATATATGTACCATTCTAGAATAGTAAAAATGAGTAAGATCTGGCTGGGCCTAAGGGAGCTTATAATCTAGAGCTAAACTGTCCAATATGGTGGCCATTCGACATGTGCAAAAACTTACATTTAAACTTATTAAAATAATAAATTCAGGTCCTTAGTTGCAGTAAGCACATTTCAAATACTCAGTAGCCACATAGGGCTAATGGTATTGGAGTAAAATAGAGAACATTTCTTTTATTGCAGAAAGTTCTATTGGACAGCATACTGGTTAGGAGAAAACTGACTACTACACAATTATGATAAATGTGATGTTTATTATTCATTTTGGCATTTAATCAAATGTGACCTTGTGATTTTATTTAATTTGTACATAACCCTAATTATCAAAAAATTTCTTGAGACCAGAGAACGTGTGTTCTGTAATATGCCCTGTCATGCTTTACTCTACAGCATTAGGTCATCAAATGCATCCAATGAGTGTATATGAAATTTAATTTTCCACTTGCCATGGAAAAAACTTTCATAGGTTCTCCGGATTAGCTCAGAATTTTATATCCTGTAGGGACTGGGGCTCTACGGAATGTCATGAATTTAGACCTATCAGTAACATCTGTTTCAGGTACTTTCTTTCAGTGCCTGGGTGGTATGAAGAAGAGATTCACAGGCTTTAGCTGCACATGGGAATCACTTGGAGAAGTTTTAAAAACATTGCCTACTCCCAGAAGTTCTAATTGGAGTGTGGCCTGGGCACTGAGATTTTAGAAACTCCCCAGGTGATTCTAATGTGCAGCCAAAGTTCAGATCCACTGGTGGAAGAGACTGGACACCCCCAACTTCACCTTCAGTTCTGTTCATTTACCCTCCAAAAATACAGGGTTACTTATGTTACCTACACATTTAAACTTTATACTACTTAACAGTATTTTCCCCTCTTCTTACAGTTTCTTTTTTCAGTAATTGTTATGGTCCTTCTGACGCTGATCACTGTCACACTGGATCCTCCTCAGAAATTACCAGACTTATTTTCTGTATTGATATGTTTTATATCCTGCTTGCACTTCCTGTTCTTCTTAGTATACTTTAACATTATAATCATGTGGGATTTGAGAAATGGAAGAAATCAGAAGAAAATCAACTAGCTGTATTCTCAACTAATGTGAAAATGTGAACAATGCGCTAAGAGGTTTTGTGAACTTTTTGTTATGTATACATAGAATTATCATTTGGAGAATCATGGAATTATAATCATGGAATGGTGAAAAGTCATTGTTGTCTACACAAAATAAATGTATATGAAGACCAAAGCCCAGTGGGACCTTTTGTATTGGATGCTTGTCCAATAATACTCAGTTATTCAAGTGGCTGAATGAGAGTCCTTAATCCCGGTGTTTACTTAAGAAGTGTGCTCTGTGAATTGTCATGTCTTGAAAAATATGCAGATTCAATGAGCTTCATAAAATAATTTAGCCTGTTATTTTAAAAATAAATCATTAATTAGAACCCACATTTAGTTTTTATTTTAGAATGCAAGTAGTGTGTACTTTATGACATGTTTAATTCATTTTATTGTTTAAGTTCTCAGGGAATAGAATTTGGAATAATCTTTTAAATTACTGTGAAAAGGCAACTTAAACTGCATGAAGTTTGACCATGCCTTATTACATGCACAAATTTGATTTTTTTTAAAAGGCAGATAGATTAAATCTACATTCTTCTTTATACCTAAGGATGCTGCTGATATGCTTGAATGCAATTGAAAAATGAACTTCCCTGAATTTAAATCTGAGTTTTAATTTAAATCTAAATACAAGTGAAGCATTTTTAATTACTCATGGTTACTAGTTCTAAATGTCAGGGATCATTCTGTTTAAGTTAAATTGCCTTATACAGGATTCCATCCTTTGGTTCTTTTTTGCTGTGACATGGGTCATCAGGGTCACTACTGCCATAACCATTGATTCATATCATGCTTCATGTTAACTTGACCCTGCTAATACTGTGTCACTCTACATTAGTAGAAGCCCATTTTTACTATCTATTCTATTGCTACAAATAATGTATTATATTCATGTAGTAGCTTCTCATATAAAGATGTGTTTTCCTTTGTCCCTTGTGATACAAATAAACATATTTTAAATGATATACACCTTTCAATATATAGCCATTTAAGCATATTAATTGGCACTGTACTTTAAAACAATGCAAGTCAAACAAAAATACATGCAAAAAGAAAATCTGGTTCTAGACTTGGATAGCCGCAGGCTTATGCAAGAAGGTATGTGTTTCTAAGTCGATAAGCCTGATAAAAGAGGTGGGTTTAGATAAAACCACAATCAAGAAGTATTTCTTTCTCAAAGCAAATGTGCATGAAGACTCAAAGGGCAGGTCAGCACAGAAAAGCAGCCTTGAATCACTGCCGAATCAGCAGGAACACTGCTGTCCATGGTCACCATCTGTAATCACTATGCCCAAGTGTCAGCATTTTGGCTGGCTGGTATAACCTTATTTTTTGTAATTGCATACTTGTATTTAATGCAGCATGTTGATTTAAATCAGGTTAATGATGAGGAAGTTACAAGTTATAGCTTCTAAATAAGAAGAAACTTTATTATTTGAAAATAAAAATATTATAAAAAACATTAGTAAATGGAATGTACCTATATTCAAGCCATCTTATAGGTATAGCCTATAAATAACTTTTCCAGATAATTTAACTAATTGCACTGAGTTACACTATAGCTTCTCTGGAGAATTTATGCAATTATCTAAGTCAAGTCTCTCTATTTATTAGAAACTTTGGACTTTGAGGAGTTAATTTCCAAAATACCACAAATGTCCAGTTATGAATTGTTGTTGTTGTTGTTGTTGTTGTGTGCCGTCGAGTCGGCCCCGACTCATAGCGACCCCTCCTTGGGTTTCCGAGGCAGTATCACTATGGAAGTAGGATTGCCCAACCTTCCTTCCGAGGAGTGGCTGGTGGGTTTGAACCGCCAGCTTTCTGGTTAGCAGTCAAGTGCTTTAGCCACTATGCTACCAGAGCTCCCAGTGATGAATTAGGACCACAGAATTGGGCAAAGCATTTCTCCCAGCTAAACTCAGGATTATTTAATATAAATAGGTTATATATAACCTCAGGTTGCTTTAATATAAACATATTTAGGCTATGAAAAAATAATAAAAGACAGAACGATCTCTTACCTTATTCATTAATATGCCTGTCGAAAAAAGTTCATTTTAGAGGCAGCAACTGTTTCTGAGATACGGTTTTCTCAGTTTTTCCATTGCCAAAAAATCTTGTTTGCTTCTTAAAACAAAGAGAAGAGGGTATTTGTTCATGTATCAAATATGAGGCATATAGAAGTCATTTTCCCTTGAGGCCTTAGGGAGGGGAGAAAAATATCTGATGTAGCATTCTGTCCAAATGATAAACCACAACTGAGTGAGTGAAACATTTACAAAAGCCAAGGGAGTCAAAGGAGCATCTCTGTTCAATGGAAAGAGAGTAAGAGATGGATAGCATATAACTAAATAATAGTTGGAGGAACACAATGGTTTCAAGTCTCAATTGGTCTCTTTTCTTTTATGTTCATTGGAACATCAGGGCCAAGTATAACCCCTCACCCCCACCCCCATATAAACATTAGTTCTGTGTGTGGATCTTTCTGCTTTGTCCTTCACGTGGCCTCCAAGGGTGATAAAGCGAGAGTCATCTGATCTACAATGAAGAGAACTGGGAAACGATTCTTAGCAGACCCAGCTGTTCTGAAAGGCTAAAGCTTAGTATATCAAGAGGTCAAACATACAGTAACTTATTTAATAGCATTAAACACATACCTACATAACTTAGATTACATTTGAAATCAATCTACTTCTTAACCCTTTATTTCCTGAGTAATGCAGGTTGCTTTATGTGTGTTTTGGCTGACATCCTAAGGTTGGCTTTCAGTGCTACAACAATCCTAATATAAGGACTGTATCAAAGTGCCATTAAAATTTAGTAGACATATTTTCTTAAAAAAATCTTATTTAAATGGTACAAAGAAAATCATTAATGAAAGTAATTAGGTTTAATAGTTAATTGGGTTACTATTAGTACCTATATCATTTATATTAGTTTTTTTAAAAAAATAACTAATCTTCATTTTAAGAGGCAAATCTGAAATTTATCTAAATAGAAAATTATTTTCAATCTTAATTTTTAAATTTTTTTTTCATATTTTCATATTTTTATTTCCATGTTATTACTGAAGTAAATAACATGGTAATATACTAGGTTTCTGAGGGACTAGCACATTTTTCTCCTTTTGGCAATGGTCAAAGAAAAGTACAGAATTAAAAAAAACTTATGCTATCAAGATGTAACATATTCTGTGCCTGATTTACACAGAATGTTTCCTCATCTTTATTTTGTGAGTGATAACAACACACAAAAATGATACAAAACACCACTATACAAAAAGAGAAGTTTAAGTTAATGCTTTAGAATAATTTGAAGGGGATCACATACTGTCCCATAAGTAAGTTCTTTCTTTAAATTCAGTGGTTATCTATTTAATTTATAAATGATTTCGTATTTAAATATTGGTGCTACTGAAAAATATATTCTAGTATTTTATAAAAATTGTGAAATTTTAAAACTTTGAACAATTTTTCTTTATAAGCCTATGAAAAATTAGAATATAATAAAACTCATCCCTTAGTTTAACAATAAACCAGAAAAATGAAATACTTTTTAAGACTCTGTAAATTAATTAGCAGCTGGGGCTTTAAATGGAGAATCTTGTACTTAGTTCCCCTCACCATTAGAGTTAATCTGAGTTTCAGAAGAATACATAGCTCTATCAAAGACACCATTTTTCATAATGCTTTATTAAATTCCTCCACAAGCGCTAAATATATAAACTAATGTATATAACACAGACTACAAGTCAACATCTCCTGTACATGTTGACTTAACAATAAATGATCAAGAAGAAATGTATTATTTACATTGAGATTATCTACTGGTGTGTATAGAAAGTTTAAATTAGCTGCAAGAAATTTTATCTAGACATGCACCTGCCTAGTGCTATGATCTGGTATTTACTGGGCAGATTAATTACAAACATTTCTTCTGTTCCTTTAAATATGATCAGGCAGATGCAGACATTGGTGTTCATAGTGAGTGCATTTCTTCTAAATGCCTGTGGGATATAAAAAATGATTATTAATTCATAAAGTTGAGTTCCAAATTAACATGTATCTAATACCTGACTTAAAAATGATTTAAATACTCACTTACTATGTTACCTGGTTCCTAGTTTAGTTACATACTAGAACCTCTCATTTGCTTGTTTTTGAGTCTTCTGTGCAAGACTCACCATCACAAATAATTGCCATATGACAACTCTTAACACAACACTCTTCACCTTATCTGAAGATGGATCTTGAAGGAGCTACTTCTGAGAGTTTTGCAACTCCAACATGAGCTACTTAAAACACCAAATCTACATGCCTTTTGTCTGCAAGGCTAAAGGGCCTTCCAGCAGGTGTTTCCTCCAACAGCTGACAGAAAAAGACAAGACAGCATTTCCTATGATAGATTCCTGTTCACAGTGTGTTCCTCTGAGGACTCCTAGTGGTTGTAGAGGATCTTGGCTTTTTGGCCTTAGGACCCTACCCATTGATTCTGACTCATCAAACCAAAAACCAAACTCATGACTACCCCTCCTTGGGTTTCCAAGGTGGTATCACTACGGAAGTAGATTGCCCAACCTTCTGAGGAGTGGCTGGTGGGTTTGAACCACCAGCCTTCTGGTTAGCAGTCAAATGCCTTAGGCACTATGCCATCAGAGCTCCCAATTCTGACTCATAGAGACCTTATAGGACAGAGATTGCCCCCTAGGGTTTCCAAGGCTGTGTAACCTGTATAGCAGCAGACTGCTACATCCTTCTTCTGTGAAGTGGCTGGTGGGCTCAAACTGCTGACTTTTGGGCTAGAAGCTGAGTGTTTTATCCACTATGTCACCAGGGCTCCTTTTAGGACCCTATTGTCCTAACAAGAAAGCAGCCTTTGGCAATTGATGGCATACATTCTACCAGGGCATGTGGACCATTCACTCCTGAGATACCCCTTCCTTGCTTACAGCAGCAGCTTTGAAGAATAGTGCCTGGTGGACCTCTACCTTTCCCTATTCATAAGAGTCTCCTCTTCCTGTCCTAGAAGAATAACTTGACAACTAACTTTTGCCAACTCATTTTAGTTTGGACTACATTCTTATAGCTCTTAAGCACTCTAGGGTTCACTTAAGGAGTGCTGGTGGTGCAATGGTTAAGCGCTTGGCTGCTAACTGAAAAGTCGGCAGTTGGAACCCACCAGCTGCTCTGTGGGAGAAAAGACCTGGAGATCTGTTCCCATAAAGATTACAGTCTAGGAACTACACTGTGGGATGGTTCTACTGTCCTATAGGGTCACCATGAGTCAGAACTGACTCACCAGCACAGAGTAACAACAGAGTTCACTTAATACCCTAACTTACCGATACACAGTTATCAGAACTAATGATAATACACAGGAAGGAAAGACTATAAGTTATTAGTTACTATAGGCAGCTATTTTGTATAATCTCATCACAGAAATATCGGTCCCAAATTGTAATAAGGCTCCAGGGAATCAAGTGCTCTGTTTTAAGTTCACGTAGCTAAATGCGTGCTAGAGCTGGTGCTGGATATCTAATTCCAAATCCCATTCCCTTTTACTGTGCCAGACCTGGCAAAACTTACGGCTGCTAAGAGACTGCTGAAAAAGATTCTGAGGTTAAATCCAGAGTTTTAACAAAGGAGAAATACTTTGACCAATGTTACGTATGTCATAGCACAAAAGTAGGGAGTAACAATGTGTTTTTTGCTTGTTCTTCAGAAGAACGTGCCAAAAACAAATGAAAAGCAATTGAGATATAGTTATATAGTTTGACGAGATTCATCTTCATCCTTTGTATAGCAACAATATTATTCTAAAACATATTTTGGATTGTTATTTCCCTTATAATATTCACTAGCCCAACTGCCTAATGAATATAATGTGGTCTTAATCTACCCTTCTGTCTTCCTGCTTCTCTGCCTAGCATGTTTTTACACAGCCCATCAAAATTACCCATATATCAAATTCCAGCTTTCTAGAAAAAGTACAAAGTTCCCATTGCTGGATGACTCCCTTTCAGAGATTATGTAGAGTTGGATAATTAGACCTGACCCACTCTTAAAAAGTACCTAGTCACCCCAACCTGGGATCATCTATGTCTGCTGTAAATTCCTCTAACACTATTTATTTTTCATCTGGTACTTACAGTAATTTTGTGGCATAGTGCCTAAGGCATTTGACTGCTAACCAGAAGGTTGGTGGTTCAAACCCAGTAGCTGCTCTGTGGAAGGAAGGTGGGGCAATCTACTTCCATAAAGATTTACCACCTTGGAAACCCAACCGAGGTCGCTATGAGTCAGAATCAACTTGGTGCTAGTGAGTTTGGTTTGTTTTGGTTTCAGTCCAAAGAGAATGGCACTTCTGTCAATTCTTCCTCTCTCCACACCCCGTGGAAAGGTGACACATTTGATTAGTCAAAGTACAGGACAAACATTGGTCCATGTTTTACTAGTAATATTACAGGCCACAACTCTTACTTAAAACTCTTTTCCTACTCTTCAGTTTCCCTTTCCTTGCCTACTCTCAAGTCAAATGGGCCACTGTGCCTGAAAATTCCATGTGGTAAGGAGGCCAGTCCATTCTACGTTTTTGCCCTGCAAACAGGCATATAAGTTGGGTCAGTGGTCTTCATAGCTTTAGTGGCAGATGGACTTGGGGTTTGTTTCAAAGACACAGCTTTCTCCTTAGGTTCAAGAGAGCACACAAGGTTCAAGATTTGGTTTCATGGTGGGAGAGAAGAGGTCCCATTTCTGCCGTGGGCACACTCTACATTAGTTAATCCAACTTCTGGCACAAGTCCTGTCATATGGAAGGTTGTCAGTTCCTCCCATAATCACTAATAGAATCCTGGAAACGACAAGAGTCTGAACTTGTATCACTTACCACAGCTTGCCTTACACAGGTATTATTTCACGGGTGTAATATAAATCTTTTGTCCTCAGTGAAATTACTACATATCAAAAGGTTGGCATTATGCATAGTGCTTTGTTCATAGTAAACCTCATACTTTTGTTAACCAAGTCATTTATCCATATTGTTCCCAGATGGAGCATCTCAGACTTTTGCTACTGGTGGCACAGTGGTTAAGAGCAGTGGTTAACTTAAAGGTCGGTGGTTTGAACTAGCTACTCCACAGAAGGAAGATGTGGCAGTCTGCTTCTGTAAAGATTACAGCCTTGGAAACTCTATAGAGCAGTTCTACTCTGCCCTACAGGGCCACTATGAATTGGATCAAAGATATTCTCATGCATTTTCTCCCCACCACCACCCTTTAATGGTCTTAGCACTCTGTAGCTTCTGAATTGCTACCTACTTTACTCTGTTATATTCTAACATTGTTTCATGAAGGTTCACTTTTTAAAGGCTCTGGGAGTGAATCTGTATGGGCTGGCTCTGTCTGCTGAACGATATAGGTCAGGAAGAATCTTCACTGTGTGAGGGAGCTCATGAGCTGATATGCAGATAGGGAAGTTGGCCACAGTGGTATCTGGAGTTCTATGTCTGTCACAGGTTTCTAGGGCAGAGAACAAAACAGGGAGTTTAATACTCTCCCTTATCATACCAGATGGGCAGCTATGATGAAAATTCATACAGAAATTGACTGTGACATTGGTTGTTATCCCCACAATGTGTCAGCACTCTCCCCATTTCCACCTGTGTAGTTTTCCTACCCCGCCTCCTTGCATCTTTGCTTTTTGGCAAATGTTGCCTGTTTGCTCTTGTATAGCTGACTGTTCTAAGGAATACATTTCTCATGAGTGTTACATTGTTTATTTTATAGGACAGTCTATTATTTGGCTGAAAGGTGACTTCTGAGAATGGCTTCAGTTCCAGATTAAAAGAATCTCTTAGGGTGGTAGTCTCAGGGGTTCCCCCAGTGTCTGTCAGCCCAATAAGTCTGGTCTTTTTATGAGTTTGAGTTTTGTTCTACATTTTATCCCATTCTGACTAGGACCTTCTACTGCGTCCCTGGCCAAAGTGGTTGGTAGCAGTAGCCAGGCATCATCTTGTACTGACTGGTCTCAGGCCAGAGGAGGCTGAGGTTCATTTGGGTCCTTAGTCCTGTGGACTAACTGTTTGAGTCTTTAGTTTCCTTCAGCCTCTTTTGCTACAGATGGGAGGATGCAACTGCAAGCTTCTAAGACCCCAGACGTTACTCACCAAGCTAGGATGCAGAACATTGTTGTACATCATTGTTCTTTGTTAACTATTTTATGCAAATTGACCTAGATGTCCTTGAGACAATGGTCCAGAGACTTTAAACCCAGTAACTCAGTCCCATAAGATGTTTGGATATGTCTAGGAAGTTTCCTTAACTTTGTCCCCTATGTACTCTGTTTTATATATATATATATGAATATAGATGTAGCGCATAAAAATATGGATATATAAATGCCCAGAACTATACCAGAATATGTGTATATGTACACGTATATACTCCTACATACTCTCCCACACCTGTATAGCATACATATCCACCTATGTAATCACTCACAAATTTCTGTTTGTTATTACTGTTATTGCAGAATTGTGTATGTTTCAGCATTTACCATAGTGGTGCTTTATTCCTGTGAATCTCAGTGTCTTCATTTACCTTGGTCACACTCTACTGACTTCTCCATAGGTGTATAGCCTTTCCCTTCACCAGAATGAACACACATCTACTAGTGATTCTCCTTCCCTCACCTTCCCATCCCTGGTAACCGTCAAAGAATGTGGCTTTCTGTATGTAAACCTATTGCTGACTTTTTATAAAGGTGGTATCATGTCTTTGTCTCTCTGTGATTGACTTATTTCACTCAGCATAATTTCCCCAGATTTATCCATGTTATAAGATGTTTTGCAGACCAATAATTACTCTTTATTGTTTGGTTTTCTTTTTCAATCAGACTCTAACTCACTGACTAGGCAGATCCAGCTAGAGAGCTCTCTTACTTAGAAGAACAAATGAGATACAATTTCAACTAAAGCTCCAAAGCTCATGTCCCTATTTTCTTTATCAAAAGGCAATATCAAATCTGATAATGTAAATAAAATGTTCCCACGTGAACAAAACACTGAAATTTAACAAGGCTAACCTAGCCTAGTGCCTAAGGCACTTGACTGCTAACCAGAAGGCTGGAGGTTCAAACCCACCAGCCACTACTCGGAAGGAAGATGGGGCAATCTACTTCCGTAGTGATACTGCCTCGGAAACCCAAGGAGAGGTCGCTATGAGTCGGATGCGACTCGATGGCACATAACAACAAACTTAATTAGAAAGGTGAAATAGTACCTCATTTCAAACTGGCTTTAAGGAATTCATAGCTGTCAAGGTGACGTAATTCTGTATGAGAGAAGAAAGAGTTTTTTCAGAATACAGTTCAGAGTAACTCATCAAAGTATGTAGTGCAGAACAAGCACTGAACCTACAATGAAATTATGATAAACAATCTAACCATAATGGTTTGTTTTATATTATGAATTTCAACTTTGGGGCTATACATTTTCATTTCAAGATCCTACCATTCTGCCTGATCCTGTTTCAGAATGTATGCTTTTAAATTTGGTATGAAAACTGCCAAGAAATGTATTATTATGATATTCCTACTGCCATTATTAGTATACTCTTTATTAGAATTGTCTTGTGCTGGATTCTATACTCCTGAGGGTAGGATTATATCAGTATTATTCATTAGTGAGTCCCCAGTGTGAGAATACCACTTAGATCGTAGTTGGCATTAAATAAGTATTAAATTAATGAACAAGTTAGTAAGTAAACACACTTGAGGTATATAAGGAGAGAGACATTTATAAGTATTTGAAAATATTCAATAATTCCTTTAAAATATTCTTGTAGTGGCCATTTGTTTTCATTTATACACTCATTCAATGAATATGTATTGCGGACCCTTTATGCTAGGCTCTGAAGAGCTGTGATGGTGTAGTACCTAAGGTATTTGCTAATCAGAAGGTTGGTGGTTCAAACCCACCAGCACTCTGTGGAAGGAAGATGAAGCAATCTACTTCTGTAAAGATTTACTGCCTTGGAAACCAAATGAGGGTCACTGTGAGTTGGAATTGACTCAATGGCATTGACTCGATGGCAATTTTTTTTTTTTTTTTAAATACTAGGCTCTGGGCTACAATATAGAGATGAGTAACAAGACTTTACAAATCCCAACCCCCCTGAGCTCAGAAAGAGCTCTGGAAGTAATCAATTACAACACACTACAACATTATAGGAGCCCTGTTGGCACAGTGGTCAAAGTGCTCAGCTGCTAACCAAAAGGTCACCTGTTCAAGCCCATCAACCACTCCATGGGAGAAACGTGGCAATCTGCTTCCAAATTTGGAAACCCTAAGGGGCAGTTCTACTCTGTCCTATAGATTGCTATGAATCAAAACTGACTCAACAGCAGCAGTAAATGGTACAACACTACAACACTTATAACCATTCAGACAAATATTGTAGAAGCCTAGAAGATGAAGCGCAATTAGCTTTGCGTACAAGAGATGGCCACCACCTGCCTATCAGTTTGTTGTATTGTGGTAGCTTGCATGTTGCTGTGATCCTGGAAGTTTTGCCACTATGTCAAATACCAGCAAGGTCACTTATGGTGGGCAGGCTGCAGTAGAGCTTCCACACTACGGCCAAAGAGAAAGGCCTTATGATCTACTTCCAAAAATTAGCCAGTGAAAACCTTATGGATCACAACAGCACACTGCCCAACTCTTGCTCTGAACATGACATCAGGAAGGTGAAGTAGAAGGCCAGTAAGGGCGAGGGACTTCCTCATTGAGATGGACTGGTACAGTAACTCACCCATGGCCTCAAACATGCTGGTGACTGTAAGCATGTGACAGGACTGTGCAGTCTGCTGTACACAGGGTTGCCATGGGTCCAGATAACTCAAGGAGCTATATAGGAGAAATGGGGACAGCTTCACAGAGCATGTGACATTTGAGAGTGACCCTACGTGATTAGTAGGAGTCTCTTCGACAGAGGAAAAAGAGAAATCTAGATAGAGGACAAAGCACAAGAAAGGCCTGGAGTTTTGAGGGGAGACATGGGAGAGGGGGGAGCTGACACTTATGAACAGTGTGAATAGCAATGACCATCTTCCTACTACCTCAACTGGAGTTAAGATCACCTAATATTTATTACAAAAGTCTTGCTTTTAATTATATTACTACTTAATTATCATTATCTGCTTTATGATTATATATGTAAATAAAATGTTTAATCACTTATGTAGAGAATATATTTACCCCCTCTTTTGGGGGAGCTTTTTGACTACTCTGAGTTAAAATAGGAAAAAAAAAATGTTCACTTGTCAGGTGATATAAGACCAATTTCTACTAAATGTACCAGAATAATTTTTCTCTGCCTCCAGAACACTTAGTCTTCAGGCTATTCATTACTGTCTTTTTATAGTATTTTTATTTAATAAAACCTATTAAGACTACCATACAAATCTCTTTACTTATGCTTTTATCTTTTAACTGATCAATTTTTATATTGCTGACATCCCTTCTTCACCATTTGCTCATTTAAAAATTCATAGTATGTGAGATATGTCTCTGGAGAAAATGTCTATAAAATTTGTTACAGCTGGCAAATGTGTATGAGTCAGTGATAGCACATGACTAAATGCTTCACAGAAAATAAAATTTGTTTCTGTAGTAAGCAGAACTGTTTAAATGTTATTTATTTTTATGTTTCAAAGAAAATATATTGTGAAGTGCTGCATTGATTTAATACGCAACAATGTCTGTGTACACGCTGTAGAAGGAAAATTTATGAAACCTTTGCACAACTCCTTTAATTGAATTTTCCAAATCTCTCACCACACACAAATAATCAATATCTTCTGCAGAGAAAACCAGTCAGAATTATTACAGTCTTTCTTTTCAATTTTGTTGTCATCAGCACATACACAGCACCTGGATATTTGTAATGCCTGATAGCAAGTTATTTACACCTCCTTAATACATAATTAAGGTGAGTTCATATCTACAGTTCTAAAATTTTTACTGATTATTTAAAAGATAAAAACGATCATACTTCTAGTAAAGTTTAAAAATATTTAAATCATGGAAGAAATTATTTAAAAGGCTTTGGAAAGCAATAAGCCAGTTTGTTTTTTCTAAGTCCCAGACAAATCTCAAGTAAGCATCTTCAGTAGTCAAAATGTATCCCCCAACAGTGATGGATAGTGAAAAGCAAGAGCATTATTAACATTATTAATGGGAAAAGCATGATCCACATACGGCACACATTGACAGCTGAATCTTTACACAGAGCTAAGGACTACAGTTGCACATTAATGTATATTTGTGTCACCAAAATGAATAGCTCCATTTTTTAATCTCCAGGTAAACCACAATGCTAAAGCGTAAGGGGGGATTTTTGTTGTTTCTCCTAAAACTCATCATGTCTAAACTTCAAACCTCAGTGCTTTCAAAATTGAAGTATCTTTTTTAAAAAAAGGTATTGTTTAATGTTCAGATGTAATAGAAAAAATAGAAGGATAGTAGTCTTCTGGGAGTAAAATTATTTAGCTGATATGATGAATATTTTTTCAAGACTGAGTGGGGAAAAGAACAATTTATTTTTAAGTTTAAAAAATTCTTCAGTGGGTGGTTAGAATGAAAAGGCAGTATCAAACTATTTCATAGACTTAGAACAGAAGTTTAAGATGTGCCCTGTAGTCTAAGAATTTGGTATCTTTAAAATCCTATAACCAAGATGAACTTTACAATGTAAGAACACAGTAAGCTAGCTAAAGAAAACAGCAACATTATAGTTTGCACTTTTTGTTTAAGGCCAGAGCTAGGAATTCTGAAATATTTTCTATTACAAATAGCTGAAACAATCAACTTTTTTGAACAATGTAAAGTTCAGATAGTTACATTTTCACTTAAAATATGCATACTGCAACCTACACAGTTATTCTCAAAACAGATAAAATATGTTTTGGACTAAAGCTAAGTGTCTAGATTGCATATTTTGGCAACCATTCTACAATTTGCTTACATTCTTTCGAAAACATTTTGTTTACTGGAATTACTAGTCATAGACAAACAATAATGGTATTTTTTAATGTCTCTGGAAAAAATGAAAGAACTGAGCACTAAATAATGCCATCCATTGACTAAGGAATATTTGTATGAAGTTGTTTTAAGTAGAGGTTGGTTATGTAAAGTAAATAAATTTCATGCCTTGCCATGTGATGATAATGTGACATTCCATCTGTGTCACCCCAATGAATGGTTATATGTTTTAAATCTTCAGCATAACGAATTAAAAATAATTATGAAAATTCACATCCAAATCTTAATGATAAAAGAACCTTTCATTTTATACTTTGCCAGTAGTCATAAAGCCAATATTATTAAGGAAAGTGAAGTTAGGCTTACTTCCTAAATAACTGAAGACAGACAGACGCTTTCCTTTGTATTTAGTAGAGGAGATTATCTCTTTTTCATACACTCTATCAAGGCATTCCTTGATTTACAAGGTCCAGTATTTATGAAGGGAGCTCTGGTGGCATAGTGCCTAAAGCATTTGACTGCTAACCAGAAGGCTGGTGGTTCAAATCCATGAGCCACTCCTCGGAAGGAAGGTTGGGCAATCCTACTTCCGTAGTGATAACTGCCTCAAAAACCCAAGGAGGGGTCGCTATGAGTTGGGGCCGACTCGACGGCAAATAACAACAACAACATATATGTTTTAAATTTCCTTTCAATAACTTATATAAAGCCTTTAGAGTGTGTGTCAGATGTTTATTTACAACACTGGAGTGTTATTTTTACAGTTACACTCCTCTTCCTATAATAAAGATTGCAACTGATGTTAAACAAAGGAACTAGCAATGAAATGAAAAAATGAACAACAGAACTAAAAGACCCCTTTGAAGAGGTGATGACAGCATAAATACTGGAATTTTCCTGGTACTGTACAATTTGTAAGAATCTGAAAGATATCCTTTTGATAATTAAACAAGTAATTCATTTTCATTTTCATAATTACCAAAATGAGACAAATTCAACACATAATATAGGACTAATTTTTACATAATTTCTAATTACATAATTTCTAAAATTAAGAAGATCTCCAAAAACACTCTTAATTTAAATAATTCTGAATCGCAGCATAGTAAAAGAAAAGCACATAAACAAAAAAGCTGAAGGCTAGATACCAAAATAAGGAACATATAAAGCAAATTAGTTTGAGATGTCAGAAAAATTGGCAAACAACCTCTTTTGCTAAATATATGAACAAAAGGATGTAAAAGTTGTTAGGGAAAAAAAAATTACACATCATAGTTTTTACATGTGTTATATGTTTTTCTTTTTGGTCAACTGTACCCTTACATGTTGCTGTAAAAAGAATCAGCATAATATGCTTACAAAAATACTGGGGAGTGGGGAGGGTGCAGTTGAGAAAAACATAGTATGTGCCTTATTTGCATAAAAATATGGTGGTGGTGGTGGTGGTGGTGGTGTTATGTGCCAGCTAGCGACCCCTCCTTGGGTTTCCCATAGGATGGCTACGAGTTGGAATCAATTTGGCGGCAGTGGGTTTTATGGAGAGTCAAATATTGTGTATTTTATTTATTTGTTGTTGTTGTTGTTATGTGCCGTCAAGTCAGCCCCGACTCACAGTGACCCCACCTTCGGTTTCCGAGGCAGTATCACTCCGGAAGTAGATTGCCCCATCTTCCTTCCGAGGCGTGGCTGGTGGGTTTGAACCGCCAGCCTTCTGGTTAGCAGTCAAGTAACTTAGCCACTGTGCTACCAGAGCTCCCATAAAAATATGGTATGTAGCTCAAATTCAAATTACAAAGAAAGTTTCAATCTGTTTTTCAGGTAACATTAATTTCAAAAATTAGTTTAAAAAGCTAATGAAGATTTTAATACCTCAAGTAATATAAAGAGCTAATGTAGCTCTTGCTGAGAAATAGAAATTCAAGATAGCTAATAAAATATATAATATATACACTATGAATTATATAAGTATATATTTTATCTCTTTTCACTTAAATACAACAAATAATCAACACTTATTTGAAATTTTAAAACATAATTTAGTGATATAATCTCCTCTATGCATGAAACAATTTAAGTCCTCCATATCTGGTAATGGGCAAATCAGTTTTAATGCCTACAACAGTACAAAATTGTTTTATGGTTGATCATGCATGAATACACAAAGAACTAATGTATAATGAGTAAATGGGAAAAAGAGAACAAAATTATCCTCTAGAAAAAAAAAATGTTTAAAAACTGTGTAGTTTTAATGTCTTAATAAATGTTTCCAAACAAACCAAACTCACGGCCATCAAGTCTTTCCAACTCATAGCAACTCCTGTTGGGTTTCCAAGGCTGTAAATCTTTACAGAGCAGACTGCCTCATTTTTCTTCCGTGGAGTGGCTGGTGGATTTGAACCACCAATCTTTGGTTAACAGCCAAAATGCCTTAACCACTGTACCACCAAAACTCCTAATAAATGTTTGGGGAGTGAAATAATACTTTTAGAATTGTTTTATATTAATTATTAGCAGTGGCAATTAACTTATTTGTTTTACAGTTTTTCCCTTTCTCATTTCTCCAGACTGTTGCCAAAAGCCAAATACGTGTAGCTTAATTCTAACTGCGTTGTTGATAGCATGGTGCCTTCGAGTAGGTTCTGACTCATGATGCTAATTGCTGTTGTTCATTGCTATCGAGTAGGTTCTGACTTAGGTACAACAGAATGACACACTGCTCACTCCTGCGTCCTCCTCACAATCACTGTCATGCTTGAGCCCATCATTATTGTCCCTCCTCCAGCACACTGGTTAAAAAATACTTCTAATTAGTTCTAGGAAATTATAGTTTTAAAAAATATTGGCATAGAATATATAAAAGAAATATTTCAATAATCATTCCAGTTTCCCATATGATCCTCTAAGATTTGTCAAGTTAGACGTTTAAAACTACTGAAACCCAGTTACACATTCTAATCAAGTTACAGTAGGAAGAGAAGAGATTCCAAGCCTTTTCTAAGAAAGGGCACCTTTCAGATTCTTAAATTCTTGAGCTCACAGGGGACGTCAGCTGCTCAACTGAATGGCTCAAGCAGTCCACTGTGGAGAAAAAGTCTTGCCACGGCAGCTGCCCTACCATGACCTGGTTGGTCTTTGTAACTGACTACCTGGGAACCCCAGCACTTTCTACTTCAAACTCATTACTGGTTTGTTAAAGGTTCTAAATGCACTACGTCACCAGAGCTCCAAATCCAGTCTCACATACTAGATCATTTGAACCAGTTTCAGTTATGACTCATGCTTGAATTTGAATGGCTTTAGGAAGCATCTACATGGAACAGTGAAAATACTTAGTTTTCTAGGTCAGACAGCCTTTAGTTAGAATCCCTGCTCTGTCAGTTAATGAGCAGTGTTACTTAACATTTTTTTCTGTGTATCCTTGTCTGATAAAAACTATCTTGCAGGGTTGCCCTAAAGATCTACTGATCCTAGTATTGTGAACATAATTACTGGTACTCAATAAATGAGAATACCAATAATCAACTAAAATACGGCTACCCATTTCAAGACCTAATTTGATTTGCAGAGACTGTTAAATGGCATCCCTACCAATATTATTAAAATGATCACTCTTAAGTTGGTCTAAAGGTTTAGTATTTTACAGTCCATGATTATTTTGCTTACTGAAGTATACAGATACTCAGATATATGTCCTGTGGGAACTTAAAAATGAAAATGAGAACATATAAATCTGTCATTTGGATGTGAAAAGGAAATCTTCTGAATGGACACAAGACTCCTTTTATGACAAAAAACTGAAATAAAAAGTAAGTAAAATTATGAAAGATAATCTGATATACATAATTAGGAGAGATTAATGTTTACAAATATAGGAAACAAAAAATTGTCAGTTTGGTTTCCCATACTGTGAAATGCTCTGAAGCATAAGAGTTCACATTAGGTCAAATGTTATTACTGTTCCTCCTCTAGCACACTGGTTATAAAATAATTTTTTTAATTCTTCATGTAGCCTCCTAACCCTTAGAAACAGTGGTATAATAAGGCAATGTTGCTACAATTTGTATTCTCAAAAAAGAGAACTTAAAAAGATGAAATTTAAATTGTCAACTGAATGTTGTATATTAAGGGACATTAAATAAACACACTCATCAGGGAAGTTGGTCTCATCAGACTTGCTCTTCTAAATTGCAATATATGGTTTTTCAAATGAGACTCATGGTCTTTCAAAAGAACACACTAAGCAGGAATCATGATGATTAGTTTTAAATGATAACATGAAAAAAGGATCTCTTTAAGTAATAAATTAAAAGACAACTCTTTACCTTTGCTAGGAAGTCTTGCACTTCTCTTCTCAAATAGTTTTTGTTTTGTTACTTTTGTCACTAAAAGAAAAAGAAATCCTATGTTAAAAAATTAAGATGGCATATGAATAATTGCTCATTACTTGGGAGAAACAACTTCATGAGAAAAAATAAAGTAATATGTATAAGCTATCAAGTAAAATATACAGTATTTTATGTTTGATTTTAAAAATGAGCACTAAATAAAAAAAGTCTACTACCAGTTGTCACATTCTTTCCCTTCCTATTCAAGAAGTGTCCCCAAAATAATACATTCTAGTAAAAGATAAATACGTGACTTATTTAAGTGAAGCAGTATTATTTCTATCACATGTCCAGGACTGACATATATAAAGAAGTCTATCATTTAAAGTTGGGAAAAATTATTAGGTTTGTTTTTAAAACTACTATTAAAAACTCACAAATTCTTCTTACTTAGCTCTTTGGTTTTCTGCATTTCTCTTTTTAAGAAACATGATGAACAGGAGATACCAATGAGGCTTTCAAGTTCTTTTCTGCCTTGCAAAGCCTGAAAGAAAGTCATCTGAAATAAGTACTCTACAATGATAAAATCAATGACAAGTATCTTTACAGTAAATTGTTTTCTTCATTTGAAAAACTTAAATTCTGTGCTGGAAATGTAACTTTGCTGGTAGGTCAACTAAGGAGCTCTGGTGGCACAGTGGTTAAAGCATTAGGCTGCTAACCAAAAGATCAGTGGTTCTAACCCACCAGCTGCTCCTTGGGAGAAAGATGAGGCAGTCTGCTTCCATAAAGAATTACGGTCCTAGGTATGCTGGTCCAATAGAGCCTGTGGAACCACTGAGACTATGTCCCCTAGCTGCCCTTCAGGTCTGGAATTGAACCCACACCTGTGGTTTCCAGCCAAACAAAGTACAGGCATGTGAGTTAAACATTTACCTCAAGTAAACACAATGCCTTGGAGAGAACAATCATGGGAGAAGGAAGGGCTGCTTATGCACAGGGAGACAGCTCAGGGCGCAGGAGAGTATGGAGGGATGGACACTGGGAAGAGGTAACTATGGGGAGGAAGTGGGAGGGGAGCTGTTGCATTGTGGTAAACTGTGGTCAATGACATGCGACAAAGTATATGTGAACTGCTGTATGGAAAGTGAATTTGCTCTGTAAATCTTCACCCAAATCACAATAAAAAAGAAAAAAAAGAATTACGGTCCTGGAGACCCAAAGGGACAATTATTTATACTCTGTACTATATAGGGTGTCGATGAGTTGGAATCAACTCCATGGCTATTACAATTTATTACTATTACAAGCCCCGAAGTGCTTAAGTAAAAGTAATTTACTATGAACTAAAATGACAACATAATCTACAAATTTACTTTTAAATGTGAAAAGGCCATATAATGCCAACATACTATGGTTAAGTAATATTAATACAAGAAAAAAAATTCCCATGAAAAGTAATTTAAACTTAGTCCCTGAAAAAACTTTCCTGGACTAGATTCTCATTTTTGGGGCTTCTTTCCTATGATTAGTTTCCAAAGAATGTATGATATAGTTAGAAGTATAAAGCTATATGAAAAAGGGGGAGAAAAAAACAGACCTGTATACTACTTAAATTTTGCATTATTTCCATGATTTTTTCTGATGATTTCTCAACTTTAGATAATAACATCATGAATCTGTAAAGGAAGAAAATATAATATTTAGCAAGAATAGTACCTAAGGCAGAAAGCTGGTGGTTCAAACCTACCAGCCACTCCTCGGAAGGAAGGTTGGGCAATCTACTTCCCGTAATGATACCGCCTGGGAAACCCAAGGGAGGAGGGGTTGCTGTGAGTCGGACCCAACTCCATGGCAGTGAGTTTTTTTTTTTTTTTTTAAAGCATGTTGAGTCATTTTTAGGACTTGAATTATTTTTAAAGGATTTTAGCTTCAGTTGTGCAGTCTTTTTTCTTCGTTTTTCAAAGAAGTAAAAGATGTAAATGTGCCTCCTTTATTCGTTCATTCCTTTACAGACACAATATATATTATTAACTATCCCTTCTTTTGGAATTTCACTTTCATTTCCATTGAGTACTGGTTGAGAAGGCATAGTTGGCTAGCTCCTTTCTCCACAATGACACTTTGAGAACACTAACCCACCACCTTTCCCTTCATTTACTTTGGTCAGTGTTAATAAAAAAAACAAGTTTTATAGCTGTCTTGTTGTTCTGTGCCGTTGAGTCGGACCCGACTCAGTGTAAAAAAAGAAAGATACAAAAGCGTGCTTTAACCTATACAACTATGAGACCAGAAGAACTAGATGGTGCCCAGCTACCACTGCCATCCACTTGGAAGGGATGTAGGAGATCCTGCATAAAGAGGAA